CTCATCCTCCTCACCCTCCCCCTCCTCCCCCTCCTCCCCCTCCTCCTCCTCCTTTTTGGCGGCGGTATACTGCAAGCGACGCTAAAGAAATGAACACAGTACAATTACAAAAACACCCGTCCCACTCTCCGGCCATCAGGTCTGACGGCTGGAGCTTTGCTTCTTGGGTGTTTCAGCCCGGACTTCTGCGCGAGCCTCCTTTCTCGGGAATCCAGTGCATCCAACGCGTCAACCGAAGTCTAGTGGAGAATTTCGTGTGACATGAGGGGCACGTCGCGCCAGCACGTGCGAACAGCCGCATCGGGTTGCGAGCGCCGTGCTTGGACCTCATGTTGTTGAGGCACGCTTGGGACGTGCCAAAGGCACGCCTATGACACTCGTGGCACATGACATTGCCAACATTCATCACCTCCTCCTCCTCCTCTTCCTCCTCCTCCTCCTCCTCCTTCTCCTCCTCCTCCTCCTCCTCCTCCTCCTCCTCCTCCTCCCCCTTCCCCTCTTCTCCTCCTCCTCCTCCTCCTCCTCCCTCCCTCCTCCTCCTCCTCTCCTCCTCCTCCTCCTCTCCTCCCCCTCCCCTCCTCCTCCTCCTCCTCCCCCTCCTCCTCCTACTCCCCTCCTCCTCCTCCTCATCCTCCTCTCCTCCTCGCGCCTCCTCCTCCTCCTCCTCCTCCTCCTCCTCCTCCCCCCTCCCCCTCCTCCTCCTCGTCCTCCTCCTCCTCCTCTCCTCCTCCTCCTCCTCCTCCTCCTCCTCCTCCTCCTCATCCTCCCTCCCCCTCCCCCTCCTCCTCGTCTCCTCCTCCTGATCCTTCTCCTCCTCCTCCTCCTCCTCCTCCATCCTCCTCCCTCCTCCTCCTCCTCCTCCTCCTCCTCCTCCTCCCCCTCCTCCTCCTCTTCGCTCCTCGCGTCTCTCCTCCTCCGCCTCCTCCCCTCCTCCTCCTCCTCCTCCTCCTCCTCTTCGTTCTCCTCTCCTCCTCCTAGCTCCTTTGCGCGTCTCCTCCTCCCTCTCCTCCTCCTCCTCCTCCTCCTATCCTCCTCCTCCTCCCCTCCTCCTCCTCCGCCTCTCCTCCTCCTCCTCCTCCTCCTCCTCGCTCCTCGCGTCTCTCCTTCTCCTCCTCTCTCCTCCTCTGCCTCCTCCTCCTCCTCTCCTCCTCCTCCTCCGCTCCTCATCCTCCTCCTCCCTCTCCTCCTCCCCCCTCCTTCCTCCTCTCCTCCTCCTCCTCCCTCCTCCTCCTCCTCCCTCCTCCTCCTCCTCCTCCTCATCCTCCTCCTCCTCCTCCTCCTCCCCTTCTGCTCCTCCTCCTCCTTCTCCTCCGAGGACCTCCCTCCGACGATCGATCTGAGTTCTGTCTACCCGAGGTCTTCCCTCGACTTTGGCCTCCTGGGCTCGTGCTCGGGCCCCGGGGGGCGATCAAGAACGACTCCGCGGCGAAAACATTGGCCCTGGGAAGGGGCTTTGGACCTCTTTGGCTGCGAATTGGAAACAGCTTATCGGAGGATGGTAGGGTCTCTCCCTGGGCCCTCCATCCCTCCCCTTCCCCTATCCCCCCCCCCCCTTCCCCATCCCCCCTCCTCCTTCTCCCCCTCGTTCTTGGGCCCAATCTGGCCTGATCTGGCTTCATGGCCCCGCAATCTGGAGCCCTTCACTGTTCTTGCGAAGACCTCCCAGAAGTTGCCTCCTACAGTCAACCCGCATTGTGAGGACGGGCAACTTTCTCAAAGGTGCCCTTGCATCCTTGCCTCCTCGGCCCATCCTCGGCCACTTGCGCTGGCCGCGCCCCGCTCTAAAGGCCTCGACGAGACGGCCTTCCGAGGCCCCTGCGTCCTTACCGCGCATCCTTTTGGTACGAGCAGACTGTAAACGCGTTGGTCGGGCGGGAAGGGCCCCCCCCCTCCTCCTCTTCTTCCTTCTCCTCCTCCTCCTCCTCCTCTTCCTCCTCCGCCTCCTCCTCCTCCTCCTCTTGCTCCTCCCCAGCCCGATGAGGCGGCATGGGCGGCATGGGCGGCATGGGCGGCAAGGGCTCGGCCTTCGCGGGCGCCGGCGCGTCGCCGGGGCTCGCGCTGCCGGGGCCGCTGCCGGGCCTGCCGATGGAGATGTTCGGCAAGGCCCGCACGGGGAGGTCTGGGCCTCCCAGCTGGGGTCGGAGCAGGTGGGGTCGGAGGATCGCGCCATGTCGTCGATGCGTCGGCGATGCTAGGGGAACAAAAAGTGGCATAATCATAAAAAACGGAGTTCCGCGCGGATTTCTCGGATCCGCGCTGGCCCCCCTCCCTGGCGCGCGGAGCGCGCCAGGGGCGGCGCCGGAGGCGCCGCCAAGGGGGTCCAGCGCGGATCCGAGAAATTCGCGCGGACCTCCGAGTTTTTTTATGTTTATGTCACTTTATGTTCCCCTAGATGCGGCTCGATGTGGAGCTGGGCTTTCTCCACGCCGACGGCGCCGACGCATCGCCGACGTGGCCGACGCATCGCCCATGTATCGCCGTTGCATCGCCGAGCATCGCCGATGCGGCGCGATCCTCCGACCCCATCTACTCGCATCCCATCTAGGAGGCCTCTAAGAAGGAAGATCGGACATTCTTAACCCTTAGCTTATGCCCCTCTGGCCATCCAAAAGTCAGATCGGAAGTTCTTAACGATTCGCGTATCCCTCATCTGCCCATCCAGATTGGAGCCGGCTCGGGTCCGAGGTGGCCCAGTATTGGTAGTTCTCTTCTCCTCCTCCTCCTCCTCCTCCTCCTCCTCCTGCTCCTCCTCCTCCTCCTCCTCCTCCTCCTCCTCCTCCCCCTCGTACTCCTCCTCCTCCTCCTCCTCCTCCTCCTTTCCCCGCTTTTCAGAAGTCAGGGGGAGGGCGTCTCCAGCGCGGGGGAAGGTGGGGATGGTGCACCAGTGTGGCGTACGGTCGGACCGAGGTGTAAGTGTCGAGGTCGGTTAGGGGAGGGTTCCCTAATGGTCTTCGTGTTTGCCGGATGTTCTTGTGCATCCTGGGCAGGATACCCTTAGATGCTCTGTGTGTCTTGGCCGGCGGAGGGTCTCATGCTCTTTGCATGCTCTCTTGTCCTAGGTCAAGCTGTACCAGTACACAGAAGACGCCCTCTCAAAGATCGAGGATCGAGCTGCTGTGAGTGTTTCTTCGGGAGGCTTCTCGTCGCCACGACTTGGTTCCCCTCGAGGTTCGGGTCGGAACGCATCCCTGGGCAGCCTCTGCGGCCGATTCTTGATTCTTGATCCGGGGATGGGACGCTTTTCTCCGTTGCCGTCTCTTGCAAGTTTCAGGAGGGAAAGAAACACACAGACACAATTAATCGTCGATTCCCCAGGAAATATGGCAAAATATGGGAAGTGGGGGGAAGACAAACACCCAGAAAATATGGGAAACCATGTGGAATCCTTTTATTTGTGTGTATTTATTTGTGTGTCCCAGGGCCCCTTGAGAGTTGTTTACTATGGGTCTGTGGTCATCCAGGCCGACCGGCGATGAGGAGCCCGTCCGCAGGAAGTGGTCGAGAGCTCCCGGGGCCACGTCGTGTTACGTTTGGAGGGGGCGAACTGGGCCATCCAGGGGGTGGATGAACAAGTGGGCCGTTCATCGGGTGGATGGAAGCGCGGTGGTGCGAGAAATCACAGCTGGGATTGCGGATGGCTCGGCCGTCCACTTTCACCTCGTCCCTCAACCATCTTTGCTGGAATCAGCTCCTGCCAGCTAGACAGCCCTGGGCCCTCTCGACTGTCTCCACTTCTCTTGCGTATTTAATGGTCCCACTGGCTTTCGATCTCTTCTCCCTTCATGTTTTCTCAGTGTCCTCCACACCTGTACTGCTGCCCTTCTAGACGCGGTGCACTCGCCTCGACGTTGGGTTGTCAAAAAAAGGGGGAGGAGGAGGGGAGGAGGAGGAGAAGGAGGAGAAGGAGGAGGAGGGAGAGGTGATAATGGGATGAATGAGGGAGGAGGAGGAAAAGGAGGTTCATAAGGATGAGCATGGAGGACGATGAGGGAGGAGGGCGGGAGCAGGATTGCGGAGGATGATGGAGGAGGAAGGAGGGGGGGCGGAAGGATGAGGACATGTGAGGAGGAGGAGGAGGAGGAGGAGGACGACGACGACGCGGGGCGAAAAGGGAGAAAAGGGACGACGAGGTGCGGGGCGAGAGGGCAGGAATGCTGGCGGGAGGGAGGGATGGCATGGGGGCAGGAGAAGGGAGGGAGAGGCGGGGTGGTTTGGGATCGGTGCAAGGGCGCCCTGGGTCGCGGGAGCCAAGGCGGCCAGGCGCGCGAGTACCCTTCCCCCGAGGCGCGGAACGCCTTTCCGAGGGAGCTCTGGGAAGGGGTTCCATGAGCCGGGTGGATGGCCCACTTGGGGCCTCGGAGCATCAGCCGGACGGATGGCCCACTTGGGGCCCTGGACCAGTGCAGGGGTACTGGGTGCCCCGGTGTGATGTTCCATGAGCCGGGTGGATGGCCCACTTGGGGCCTGGGGGCGGCGAGGGGGTTGCGCGCAGGGCGTGCGAGGGTCGGGGGCGTGCATGAGCCGGATGGATGGCCCACTTGGGGCCTCGGGGGGGGCGGCCTCCAGGAGCCGGGTGGATGGCCCACTTGGGGCCTCGGAGCATCAGCCGGACGGATGGCCCACTTGGGGCCTGCATTCGGCCTCCGCGGAACAGCGTTCGGGAAGGGCTGCGCGCCTTCCCGGAACAGCGTTCGGGAAGGGCTGGCGGCGGAGGGAATGGGGAGGGGGGGGAGCGGGAGAGCACGAGGTTGGAAGAAAGGGGCAAATGGAGGGAGGGAAGGGGAAGGGGACGGGGGAAGGCGAAATAGGACAGGGGAGCTGGGGGAAGGGAGGGGGAGGGGGGGGGGAGGGATGAGGGAGGCAGAGTGCGAGAGAAAATGGGCGCGGTTGGCAGATGTAAGTAGCGGGCTAGCATCAGTGAGGCGCTGAACGACACTGGTGTGGGACGCGGGGCGACGACGACGACGACGACGACGACGACGACGACGCGGGGCGAAAAGGGGAGTGAAGGGAGAAAAGGGGAGGTGGCGGCGGAGGGGGCAAGGGGCTGCGCGGTGGGCGGAGGCAGGGGGAGGGCCAGCACGGGAGCGTGCACGGGGCAGACCAGGCGAAGTGGCCACTTCGGCGCCACAGAAAGGGCGCGGCGGTCGACGGGCACACCTAGGACGAGAAGGAGAGAGGGTGGCAGAACAGCAATTCCAAGGCTGCCCCTCGCAGACAATTTGGCTTCACTCGTGCGGCCTGATCCCGCTTCGAGGTGTCTCCATGTCGACGCGGTAGCGGGCCGTGGGCCGAGGCGACCGAACTGCTCCGAACGCTGGGCGGAAAGGCGTTCCAGAAATCTTGGAACGCCTCCCCGAAAGCCGTTCCATGCACCCTTTCGACGGCCCACCTTCTGGATGGCCCTGTTCGCCCCGCCTAATACGTCGGGCACGTCCCTCTACAGGAGGAGTCTTCAGAAGTAGTCAAACATAGTATGTGCACATGTTTATGTTTCAGCATTTTAGAATTATTGTTGTGTGTTCGCCCCAAATCCGCCTGCAAGAGGACATGCCCGACCTAAACGTAGTGCAAGCCTCCTCCTCCTCCTCCTCCTCCTCCTCCTCCTCCTCCCGTCTCCTCCTCCTCCTCTTCCTCCTCCTCCCTCCCCTCCTTCTCCTCCTCCTCCTCCTCCTCCTCTCCCTCTCCTCCTCCCCTCTCTTCCCTCCCCCTTCTCCTCCCCGTCCTCCCCTCCTCCTCCCCGTCCTCCCCCCCCTCCCTCCTCCTCCCCTCCTCCACCTCCTCCTCCTCCTCCTCCTCTCCTCCTCCTCCTCCTCCTCCCCTCCTCCTCTCCTCCTCCTCCTCCTCCTGCTCGCTCCTCCCCCCCGAGTTGAGGAGCGCACCGCGATCACGACGACCCCTCGGTGCTTTCTCTTGTGTGGTCTGCCTTTCTGGGGTGCCCGCGTCGCCACGGCCGGAGGCGCGCCTCGGACTCCTGGAACAGTACGTCGGGCGTGCCTTTTCCACAGGGGGGAAATAGCTCTCCAAACTTGTGTCAGGAGGGGAAAGAGCACACAGACACAGTCAGTCCTCGATTCCCCAGAAGATTTGGGAGAATATGGGAGGCGGGGGGGAAGACAGAACCCCAGAAAATATCGGAGAGTATGGGGAATCGTGCTTCGTGTTATTTGTGTGTATTTGTTTGTGTGTCCAGCAGCCTGCGCTGTCGGGTTGGCGTCGGAGCCCGCGTCGTCGGGGCAGTGTCGGCGTCGCGCCCAGGAGACCCTTCTCGCTCTGGCGATGCTGGGCGTCGCCCGGCGGGGAGGGGGAGGGGGCCGGTGATGCCGCGGCTCGCGCCAGCGCCGCCCGGGCACTGCATGCCCGGGAGGGGCAGCTTGCCCGAGGGCGGCGTCTGCGCCCCGTGACGTCCACCGGGCGGGGGGGGGGAGCTCCCCCTGCCCGCCTGCTAGTAGGCGGGGGGAGGCCGGCGGCGTCCCCAGGGCCGCCTGCCTGGTGCGCTCCGCGCGCCAGGCGGGCGGTGTGCCGCGTGGAGCTCCGCTTAAGCTTGTGTGTCCGTGTGGCGTGCTTCTCCGCGGGTGCAACTCCTGGGAGGTCAGGTTCTGCTTCTGCCCTGGTCCGAAGTCCGGCTTGGTCCCGCCGAATCCCGCTCAATCCGGCTCTGTCCCGCTGAATCCGAGGCCCACTCCGGCGTCATAGCTCCCAAATGGGGCTTTCTCCTCCTGAACCTTTCCGACGACAGCCTCTGCCGCTCGCCCCGGCTTCGGGAGGTTCGGGTGCAGCTCCTGGGAGGGCAAATTCTGAATTCGCCCTGGTCCGAAGTCCCGCTTGATCTGGCGGAAGCCCGCCTCATCCTGCTTGATCCAGCTTGATCCCGCTCGATCCCGCTCGATCCGGCTCAATCCCGCTTGATGCGAGGCCCACTCTGGCGTAACAGCCCCCGGGTTGAATCCTTCTTTGATCCTTCCGACGAACACCTCCCAGTAGTTGCCTCCCGAAGGAGGCTCTGGGCGGCCTCCGCAGTTCTGCGGTGGGCCTCGGAGGCCTCCCAGAGGTCTTTAAGGGAGCTTCGGAGGCGTCTCCAGGTCCCTGCCGCTGTGCGCAGGCAGCCTCCCGGACTCCCAGGGGTGCCCCTGGCCGCCCTCTCAGACGCTCGTTGTGGGGACCGCCCTGGTGCTCACCTGGCGGATCTGCTCTGATCCAGCTCGACCCTAGTTCGACTCAAGCTCAACCCATGTCGACTGGCGCACGCGTGGAGCGAATGGCTGCAGGCAGGTCTTCAGAGCTGGCGGCGCGCACAGGGGGGTAGGGGGGGAAGGCGTCTTAGACGGAGGCTGCTTTCTAGAAGGCGCCGGCCTTGTCTGCAGATGTAGGGCTGGCGCCTTGAAGAGGCAGCCTCCCTCTAAGAAGCCATCCCCCGTCCCCCTACCCCGCTGTGCGCGCTGCCAACAGAGTGAGCATGTACCCTCTAGTCCAGGCTGGTCTGGGCACCCAGCGCGCCACCTTTTGGGGGGACACCATCGAGGCGCGGACGGGGTGCCCTGGACTACGGCGGCGGCATTGGATAAGGAACGTCTTCCTGGGGCCCAGACCCTGGCGCATTCCTTCTTGTTTCAAGGCGAGGTGGGTGGTCCACGTTTGGCCGCCCATCGGTCGCGAGACCCGGGGTTCCTTATCGAAGGTATGCGTATCTAAAACCTCCACCGTAGTTACTGCAGTGTTCGGGCAGTGCCAAGTGGGGGGACCACTGGCGGGGTCACCAGTTCCTTTTGGCAGTTCAGGCTCCAGGATTGAAGCTGCTCGAGAGGGCTTTGTGGACTCTGGAGTCGTTTTGGTTCTCGAGGGCCCCTCTTTTTAGAGGAAGTGGCGCTTCCTCGAAGTGCAACTCCCAAATGGTAACTGCCGTTGGCATTGCCCCAAGTGGCGGCGCGGATCGAGAGGCAGCTCGCACTCTTCCAGGCTGCCCGGTGGGATTCTTGGGTTCTGAGAGGCCTGCGGTAGGAACCCGAGGGTTCCAGGCCCATGATCCGTGGAGACGCTTGGTTCTCAGGGTCTGGGGCAGCAGGAGGAGGAGGAGGAGGAGGAGGAGGAGGAGGAGCAGGAGCAGGAGCAGGAGCAGGAGCAGGATGAGGAGCAGGATTGGGGGGAGCGGAGGAGGAGGAGGAGGAGGGGAGGAGGAGGGCAGGAGCAGGAGCAGGGATTGAGAGCCAGGAGGAGGCGGTGGAGGAGGTGGAGGAGGCGGAGGTGGAGATAGGAAGGAGGAGGAGGAGGAGGAGGAGGAGGATGAGGAGGAGGAGGAGGAGCGAGGAGGGCAGGGGAGGAGGGAGGAGGAGAAGAAGGGAGGAGGAGGAGGAGAGGGGAGGCAGGAGGAGGAGGAGGAGGGAGGAGGAGGAGGAGGGAGGAGGAGGAGGAGGGAGGAGGAGGAGGAGGAGGAGGAGAGGAGGAGGAGGAGGAGGAGGGGAGGAGGAGGAGGAGGAGGAGAAGAGGTGGTAGATGGGAGGAGGTAGGCGGAGGAGGAGGAGGAGGGGCAGGAGGAGGAGGAGGAGGAGGAGGAGGAGGCGGGAGGAGGAGGAGGAGGAGGAGGAGGAGGAGGAGAGAGGAGGAGGAGGGGAGGAGGAGGAGGAGGAGGAGGAGGAGGAGGGAGGAGGAGGCGGAGGAGGAGGAGGAGGAGGAGGAGGAGGAGGAGGAGGAGGAGGAGGAGGAGGAGGCGGAGGAGGAGGAGGAGGAGGAGGTAGGAGGAGGAGGAGGAGGAGGAGGAGGGAGGAGGAGTTGGAGGAGGGGAGGAGGAGGAGGAGGAGGAGGAGGAGGAAGAGGAGGAGGAGGAGGAGGAGGAGGAGGAGCCGCTCGCCCTTTCATCGCCAATCGGGCCTCACAGCGGCCCGCCCCGCCCAGGAGCGGGCGGCTCCGCTCTTGGGGGCGCGTCGCCGATCTGTCGGCCATGCATCGCCTGTTGCAGCGCGATGCCCCTCCCACCGAGCCAGTGTCCTCTAAGGTTCCCCCCCTCACAGGGTCCGGGCTTGGTCGGGAGGTGCCTTGTGGCCATGTCCTGCTGTACCCCATGGGCCTGCCGAGAGCAGGCAGGACCGCTTCGCGGACAGCCCCCAGCCCTCGCCAGCAGCCTGCCCCCCCCCCCACCCCCCCTGTGGTCCTCGCCGTCTGCTCTGTTGTGAGACCAGGCCTCTGCACTTGTGGACCCCCCCCGCGCGAGGGCGGGCCCCAGATGATGGGGGCGAACATGATGGGCATGGTGCCGCCGAACATGATGGGCATGGTGCGCGGAGCTCCGCCGAACTCACTGCGGGCCCCAGCACCTCCCAGACGTGCTCGCGCCGCGAACAGGAACACAGTCGGGGCGGGAGGTGTCTGGCCGTTTCGGGACTCTGGAGGCAGGGAGGAGGAGGGAGGAGGAGGGAGGAGGAGGGAGGAGGAGGGAGGAGGAGGAGGGAGGAGGAGGAGTGAGGAGGAGGGAGGAGGAGGAGGAGAGAGGAGGAGGAGGAGGAGGAGGAGGAGGAGGAGGAGAGGAGGAGGAGGAGGAGAAGGAGGAGGAGGAGGAGCATCGGATAACAGCAGCTCCAACGGCTTCCTCTCCCTGTCTTCACCTCCCACCCTGCTCCTGGGACCAGCCTAGGCGGGGTTTGGGTTTGGGGCTTCGGCGGCGCTTACTCTTCTCCTTCCCTCTTTCCTCCCTCCGTCTCGGCCTTCCTTCTTCTCCGTAAGCGTCGCCTTAGCCTCACGTCTTAACGTTTTGTCGCTTTCTGCTCCTAGAGTGGACTTGTGACACAGCAGTGCATCAGTGCATCAGAGGAGGAGGAGGAGGAGGAGGAGGAGGAGGAGGAGGAGGGGTGAAGAGGGAGGAGGGAGGAGGAGGGAGGAGGAGGAGGAGGAAGAGGAGGAGGAATGAGGAGAATAACGCGATCCATCATACGACATCGAAGAATAATAGGCATGTTCATAATTTAAAGACTAGTGCGAATACTAAGAATACGCATAGGAATAATTCAACGCATAGTACGATTACTAATGATGCTACTACGAAAATTATGATAACGGACAAGAAGAATAAACATACGAAACGTCATATTACGAGGCATAATAATAATACTCATGCTCCTAAACTTGAGCAGGAGAAGGCGAAGAAGAGGCGGAGGAGGCCGAGGCGGAGGCGGAGACAGAGGAGGAGGAGGAGGCGCAGGAGGAGGAGCAGGAAGGGGAGGAGGAGGGGGAGGAGGAGGAGAACCAGAAGCAGACGCAGAAGCAGAAGAAGACGAACCATACGATTAATAACACGATTAATGGCAATGATAATACGAGTAAGCATACCAATGCTACTACTAATAATACGAACCATATCAACAAGAAGACAAAGACGAATCTGTATACGAAGACGGGTACGAGTAATCATAATGATAAGAATATTATTACCCAGACATATCAGAATAATATGACGGATACTGATACGAACAATAATGCTAATACTGATAGTAATAAGAATCATACTCGTAATTTTAGTAAGAATAACAAGAAGCAAAAACGTGAGGAGGATGAGGAGGAGCAACGGAGGAGGAGGGTGGCAGAAGGACGGAGGGAGAGGCAGACGACGAGGCGGAGATGTAGGAGGAGGGGGGGGGGGGAAGGATGGATGATAGTTGGCAAGTGTTTCTTTCATCAGCATCAGCAGCGCGCCCCGCCGTACACATGGCAGAAAGGGCCAGCCCTGCCAGTGCCCACCTGGGCGCCTGCCGTGCGCAGGGCACCCACCCGCCGCCCCACGGGCGAGCTGGCGGCGCAGAAGAGCAGCCTACAGCTCGTCGCCCGGACTCAGAGGAGCGAAAGGCGGTTATGCGGCTGATGATGATGATGAGGATGAGGATGAGGATGGGGATGAGGATGAGGATGATGATGATGATGATGATGATGGTGATGAGGATGATGAGGATGAGGATTAGGATGAGGATGACGATGATGATGATGATGCTGCTGCTGCTGATGATGATGATGATGATGGTGATGTTGATGGTGGTGATGATGAGGATTAGGATGAGGATGAGGATGATGATGAGGATGAGGAGGATGATGCTGATGATGGTGATGATGATGATGATGATGATGATGATGATGATGCTGATGATGATGATGATGATGGTAAGGAGAAGGATAAGGATGATGGATGGGGATCGGGAACGAAGGAAGGAGGCAGAGGAACATGAGGAGGGAGGAGGTAGGAGGATGCCAACTATACGCCTACATCGACTATGGTCCAGCAGATCTGGGGCCTGGAATCGGTGCGATTCTGTAGGGCTCCAGAAGAGGGCCTCGCTTTCGAAAGATCGGGAGGTTAACTTGTCTTCCCCAGCGGACGGCTGCGGGGATGGCCGTCGGAAGGCCAGCGAGAGTAGCGGAAGTTGGCGGAAGTTGGCGGAAGGCCCGCGGGAGCCGTCGGAAATATCGCCCTCCCCCTCCTCCTCCTCCTCCTCCTCCTCCTCTCCTCCTCCTCCTCCTTTCCTCCGCCTCCCCTCTTCTCCTCCTCCTCCTCCTCCTCCCTCCTCCTCCTCATCCTCCTCCTCCTCCTCCCACCTTCCTCCCTTCTTCTCCTCCTCCTCCTCTCATTCTCCTCCTCCCCGCCACCCCTTCCTTTCCTCCTCCCTCCTTCTCCTCCTTCCTCCTCCTCCTCCCCCTTTCTCCTCCTCCTCCTTCCTCCTCCTCCTCTCCTCCTCCTCCCTCCTCCTCCTCCTCCTCCTCCTCCTCCTCCTCCTCCTCCTCCTCCTCCTCCTCCTCCTCCTCCTCCCTTCCTCCTCCTCCTCCGCAGTCTTCGCGGCGCCAGGGCCCCAACGCGGCCCCAAGGGGTGCCGGGAGAGCCGCAGCACGGCCCAGCGGTGGCCCCGAGGGGGGCCAAGGCTGGCCCAGGGCTGGCCGAAGAGACGGCCCAAGGCATGCCACGATGCTTTCAAGACCGCCCAGGCCCCAGGGCGCCCCACGAGGAGCCCCTACGAGGGCCCCGAGAGGCCAACATCATTGGGTCACCATCGTTCTGCAGGAATTTTGGACTACCTGCGCTTCCGAGCTGGAGGGTCCCCAGGACGGCCCGACAGGCCCCCAAGCTCGCACCGAAACGGCCCAAGAGGCCCCCAGGAGGCGCCCTAGGACTGCTCAAGGAAGACCACCACTGTGGCTTCAAGTGGTGACACGTATTTGAGAAACAGAAGCACCCATCGGATATGTATATATATATATATGTATATAAACATTTATATGTATGTATATAGAGGAATGCGTTATAATAATGTTAACCTGTGTACACAAGTATATGTGCGTGCCTTTCTTGCCAAGCCATGCGTGCGTACATGCCCCATTCTGGGCCCATGATGGGCTTGGTCAGTGTCGGTGCAAGCAGGTTCGTGTTGTTGGTGCCCTCCTGCTTTGGGGTCCTTCGGGCCGTCACCCGTGCCCTCGTGGTCGTCTTTCTCTTGCCCCCTTCCCTGGAGTGGCTTCTCGCCCCGAGCTGTGTGGTTGACGGCCCGGGGCCCGCATACGGTGCCCGACTGCTGCAGCTGGAGAGGCACCCCAGCCTCGAGATGTCTTCGGTGCGCCAGCGGCGGGGGTGCTCGCCCGACCGAGATCCGCTCAGGGCCAGCGTTGGTGCACACGGCACAGCGGGGGCCCATTCCCAGAAGAACACCCCCTGCTCGCCTCCAGCAGGAGGAGGAGAGGGAGGAGGAGGAGGAGGAGGAGGAGGAGGAGGAGGAGGAGGAGGAGGAGGAGGAGGAGGAGGAGGAGGAGGAGGAGGAGGAGGAGGAGGAGGAGGAGGAGGAGGAGGTGCGCCGCGCGTCCCACACCAGAGCTCAGGTCAGCGGCGGACGTCTTCGGGCCTCAGGGCTGGGGTTTCTTGCGGCAGGTGCCTCGTGGTCGAGCTCCTGCGCCAGGGACACCGAAAAGAAGAGGCTCGCGAGATCAGCGGACGTCTTCGGGTCTCAGGGTTGGGCTTCTTGTGGCAGGTGCCTCGTGGTCGAGCTCCTGCGCCGGGGACACCAAAAGGAAGAGGCTCGCCTGCCGACGGGTGCCCCACCGGACGCAATCGACGATCTCTCGATGGGCCCGCGGAGCGAGGCGCGGCACCTCTGGCGCAGCGCAGGGTCGACGGAGGAGGTGCCCCCTTCGCCCAGCAGGGCTCCTAGGAGAAGGCGTCAACTTTCGTGGGCTCCATGTGTCGTGCGAGAGGATCAAGAATCCGCACTGGACCCGGAGCTTCCTCTCGGCTGCTCCGCGGGATTTCCGTAGAGGTGGCCCACGGCTGCTGCTGGAGAAAGCGCTTCGAGTGAAGTCCGTTTTCTCAGCTTCGAGTTCCTCTTAACTCGAAGCAGGGGTGTAGATCTCTTCTTGCATGTGCTTGCGGCACGCTGGTCTGCCCCCCCCCCCCGGACCGTCGGCCCCTACAGCCGCGCACCGCGGCTTCTGCCCCCCCTCGGCAGGTGCGGCCCGGCATGATGCGCCCTCCTCGGTGCGCGCGAGCGCGGGCCGGCGCAGTCGGCGGTCGTCGTTCGGCGTCAACGGCGTCGCCGTCGTCGGCGTCGGCAGCGGCTTCGGCGGAGGCAGCGGCGGTGGCGCCGTCGGAGTCGTTGTCGTCGGTCGTTCGTCATTCTTCGTTCGTCGATCGTCGTTCGTGGTTCGTCGTCGTCGTAGTCGCCGGCGTCGGCGTCGAAGTCGGTGACCGCGTCGGCGTCGGCGTCGGCGTCGTTTGCGTCGGCGGCTGATTCGGCGTCGGCGTCGAGGGTCGAGGGTTTTTTGGGGTCTCTGGGAACGCCCTCTCTGCCACGGCTTCGTATGCCTCCAACGTCTGGTGAGATCGCGCCCCAGGATAGCTCCAGGGGGTCGTTCGTCGTCGTGAGCGTCGGCTCCGGGCAGCGGTGGCGTCGTCGTCATCGACGTCGTCGTCTTCTGTAGCGGCGCCGGCGTCATCGACGTCGTCGGCGCCGGCAACGTCGTCGTATTCGTCGTCGTCGTCGTCGTCATTATCATGGTCGTCGTCGTCGTCGTGGTCGTGGTCGTCGTCGTCGGCGTCGGCGTCGGCGTCGGCATCGTCGTCGTCGTCTTGGTTGTCGTCTTCGGCCCTCTACTCCTCTAGTCCCTCCTCCCCGCCTCATTGGCACGCGCTGAGGTGGGGGTGGATGGAGCAGAAAGGGGAGGGAGGAGGAATCAAGCTCGTCAATTTCGACAATGTTGGATTGTCTCCCCCAACTCCCTCGCGTGAAAGAGTGCACCTGCGACCCTCTTGTATCGTCACACGGCCTGTCGGCCCATGCTAGAGGCAGTAGGAGAGCTAGTCCCGGCCGCTATCAGACGCTTTCCGCAGAGTGCTGAAGGCATGCTGAAGGCAACGACCTTTTTCTCATGCTGTTGGAGCGCGGTCTCCTCCCGTTGCCCAAGGTGCCACAGTGCCGCTTGCAGCTGCCGGCGGATCCGCCCATCAAGTCGTTTTTTCACCCTCTATCTTGACGGATGTCTTGTCGTCGATTATCTCCATCTTGACGGATCTCTTGTCGTCGATTACACAGCGTGCATTGCCAATTTGGTGTAGTTGGAACATTCCCGCCTGAGAGGCCTTGAGCGGGTCTCACTTGTAGTGCGTCAGCGGAATTGGACATGAGCTGTGCTCGAAGGTGGAACTCCTCGGCCTTGGGCACGGAGAGACCTCCGTCGGCACTCCAGTGGACGCGCGGGTGATGCGACGGGCAGGATGACGACGGCAGCGACGCCAGCAATGATCATGACCCAGACGCCGGTCGCCCGTCGCAGGCAGGCCACATCCCCGGGGCCAGGCCCCGCTGCGCGCTACCTCTCTCCATCGCGGGCCCGGCCGCCGGAGGGCCCCCCTTGGCATCACCCGTTGGATGCCTTCGTCGACGTCGGCGGCCCGTCGGGCCAGGGGCCTCAGTGGGGGGGGGGGGCACGGGAGAGCCAGGGGGGGCTTTCTGCGATAGCCTATATTCAGAGCGTGGATTACCTACCCCGCTTTCGCTTCCAGGCAAAACCAGATCATACTACGCGCCTCCTCGTCAAGCGGCCTGACCAGTACAGGCCTCAGTTTGGCATCGCTTGGTATCCCTTGGAAGCGAGGGTGGTCAAAAGCGAGGTAGGTTTCTTTGCCCCCTATCTATGGGGGCAGCAGGCTTCGCTCTGAGCGCGGACCGCGGCTCAGCAGCTCCCGACGCCGGGGCCGAGCGCGCGGCGCCAGGCCGCCCCGGGGTGGGCACTAGCTCCTGATGCGATGGGGGGCCTGCCTGGCCGCGCCTCTCCGCGCGCCCCCGGGGGGGGGGGCCTCTCCGCCCATGGGGGCGTGGGCGCGCCTCTCGAGAGGGCGGGCGCTCTGCTGGGCGCCCCCCGGGAGCGGCGCAGGGCGGCCCACGCCCCAGAGAGGGGGGTCTCCGAAGCTTCCTCTGCAGAATCCGAGGCCCGCTCGTGGCGCCGCCACGGGGGCGGCCTCAGAACTCTTCAGATGCCGGCTCGCCGCGCCCAGGGGCTTGTGCCTGGCCGCGCCCCCAGACATCCGACGTCTCGATGTCTTCGAGGCACGGGCCTCCGACGCGCCGACCTCCCGATCCCCTCCCTGGGGCCGGGTTCTCAGCCCGAGTCGTTTTCTGAGGGCCCCGAGGCCCGGCGAGGGCCCCGAGAGGCCCAGAGCTGCGAAACAGCCCCCGTCTCGATGTGTTCGGGGCGCCCGCTGCCTGGGCCTCGCCGCGCGCCCCGGGGGGGGGGGGGGGGGGCCCTCCCCCATGGGGGCGTCGGGGGCCTCCGGAGAGGGCGGGCGCTCCGGGGGCCCCTCCCCGCGGGGGCGGCCTGCCCCCGCGGGGGCAGGCCGCCCCCGGGGAGGGGTGGCGGGCGGCCCACGCCCGCGCTCCGGAGGGGGGTGGAAAGCTTGCTTCGGGGGCCTGTCTTCCACCACCACCACCAGAAGTCGAGGGGGAGGGGTCCTCCTCCTCCCTCTACTCTTGCTCCTCCTCCTCCTTCTCCTCCTCCTCCTCCTCCTCCTCCTCGTCCTCCACCTCCTTCCCCCCCTCCAACTTCTGGAGGTGGTGGTGGGGAGCAGGCCCGTCATGCCTCTTGCGAGGGCGGCAGGGGCTGCGCGTGGCAGCAGCCATTGATGGCGCGGGCTCGTGGCGCCACGCCTCCTGGAGACTCCGTGGCGGGGGGGTGGTCGTCACAGCGTGGTGCTCCAAGACGGCTCAAGGTCTAAGTCGGGCATGTCTCTCCATACATGAGGAAGGTTCAAAGATGGCGAAACAATAGTCAGGGGACGATGTTCTAGCATGCTTAAACTCTTTAGAGCATATGTTGAATCACTGTCGTCTAAAAGCCGCCTGTAGGTGGACATGTCCGACCTAGCTCAAGGTTGAGGTGGCGTTCGTGAGCCCCGAAGCAATGATTTCCATGTTTCTGACGGTTTCTGGTGTTCCCGACCTCGGGTTTGCGTCGCATATATTTAGCAAGAGAACGACCGAGCAAGCAAGCGAGCTGGTCGTAAGCATTCCTCATTCAAAACTGGGAGAATGAATTCAAACTGCGGCGGTACGCATGAGCGGGATTAGAACTGAGGGTGTTCCCAGGCCCACTGGCGCCTTCGGAGACCGCGTTGGAGGTGTATGTATCTGGAGCGTCTTGAGAACGTCTTGGGGTCGTGGAGGCCGTCTTGGGACTCTTGGGCCATTTTGCCGGCGCTCCTGCACCCTCTGGGGGTCGCATTGGGGCAGTTTTGGAGCTCTACTGCGCCGATCCGAAAGCTTCCCCACTTTTGCCACGGTGCTCGCCGGGGGCCATCTGGGATGGCGCGCGCAGGAGAAGACTCGCGGGGCCCGAGGGCGGATGGGGGCGATGTCGCGAGGGCAGAGTCGGCGCGCCGATGGGCAGCCCAGCACCCCGTTTGGCCGGAGGGGCCCAGCACAATGCAAGGGCAGAGCCTAACCCCCGCCCGGGGTCGCGGGATCGGGTTCTTCTCGATTTATAATTTTTAATACCAAACGGTGTACTGACCCGAAAATGAGCAAACGGCATCGGACGTCCTCGAAAAAAACTTTCGGGTTCGGTCATGCGACGACCCGAAAAGTTTATCGACCTATCTGAAAGTGGCCAAATCCACATGACGTGCGCCCCAAACAAAATTCGGGTCCACTTCAAACGGCCCGGAAATGTGCGAACCGCCTAGAACTGTTCGCTCAAATATCGATCACCAGGTCTTCGGGTCCACTCCGAAGAAACCGAGCATGGGCAAATCGCCTAGAACATCCTATGGCAAACGGTTTCTCGGTGGTTCCGGGCCTCGTCCGAAGGAGCCGCCGATGGGCCGACCGTTCAGGACTTCCTGCGCAAGAAACGGTTTCCCGGGTGAGCCACTGTCAAAAGGGAACGCGCCCCGCGCGGGATCGGGGTTCGCACGGGGGTGCGGCTGTTCGCGCCTGTCCAGGAGGCGCGCGTTGCCGCGCCCTTCCAGCATAGCGTTTGCTCTGCATTCGCG